TTACTATTATTATTACTATTATTATTATGATGATCATTATGATTATTATTATTATTATTATTATTATTATTATTATTATTATTACTATTATTATTATTATTATTATTATTATTATTATTATTACTGTTAGTATTATTAATATTATATTTATTATTATTGTTGTTGTTGTTGTTGTTGTTATTGTTGTTGTTGTTATTATTATTATTGTTATTATTATTATTGTTATTATTATTATTATATTTATTATTATTGTTATTATTATAGTTAATATTATTATTATTATTATTATTACTATTATTATTATTATTATTACTATTTTATTATTATTATTATTAATATTAATAATACTACTACTAATAATAATAATAATAATAATAATATTATTATTATTATTATTACTACTACTACTACTATTATTATTGCTATTATTTTTTATTTTTTTGTAACCATTTCATTAATTATCGAAAATACTTTACAAACCAAGCAGCTATCACAGCATGCCTAAACATCAGAAAACAAACTCCCAACGACACCACCAATACTAACTAAGCATCAATCTTCCTATGGCTAATAATCTTACTAATGCTAATAGGAGATCTTGCAATAGTTACAACAGCTATCTTCTTAACAATCGCATCTATCAAAGTCTTCTTGTCTTCGAAGATTATCTTGTTTCTCTCATTCCAAACAGCATATACAACTTCAGCTAATATCATCTTGAATAATTGTGCTCTTGTAGTCTTCCCCTTCCCATGTTGTATACACCATTGCACAAACTGTGTCCATGTCTCTGCTCTGTTGCTTTTGAAACCAGCCCATGCTAATACTCTTTCCCATATTTCCCCTACATAGTAACATTGTAAGAACATGTGGTCCATACTTTCATCCCTATTTGTACATAGCACACAAGCTGTATCATGTGTTAACCCCCATTTAGCAAGCCTATCCACTATTGCTAGCTTTGTATACATATGTATCCACAGAGTAAATATAGCTTTAGGACTTGCTGAATTATTGAACATTAGGCATTTCCACAATGGTTTAGGTTGCTCCCTTCTCAAATGATCATAAATTTGCTTAACCATTCCTTTTCCTTCTTTTATGTGAACTTGATCAACTATTTGTTTAGCCTGCATTATCTTCCTGATCATCCAACTAGCTTGTTCTCTCTTCTGCCAATCATTCTGCCCTCTCATGTAATATACATGTATCCATTTGATCCACAGCTTGTCTTCCTTGTTTGCCAAATCCCAACAAAGTTTGGCTATTGCAGCTCTATTCCATATTTGCATATTTATCAGCCCCATGCCTCCTTCATTTTTTGGCCTACATACTTTTTCCCATGCTATTAAGGCTTTCCTAGTTACCTTCCCAACACCAGACCAAAGATAACTTCTACACAGACTATCAATTAATTTGATTATCTTAGCTGGAAATAGGAATAGTTGAGCCCAGTAAGCTTGAACTCCAAAGAGCACTGTTTGTACTATTTGTTTCCTTCCTGCATATGATAACTTCCTAGCTTTCCATGAGGTGATTCTTGCCATTATTTTCTCTATGAGGGGGTACCATTGTATCACAGACATCTTCTTGGTTGATAGAGGTACTGCCAGATACTTGAAAGGAAGTTCTTCCATATTATATCCTATGTGTTGGACAATCTGATTCTTCACTTCTTATTGAACCCCTCCACAGTATATTGAGCTCTTACTTAGATTTGCTTGTAGTCCTGAAGCTTGAGAAAATTGTGAGAAACACCCTTGCATAGCTTTAAAAGATTCCAAATCTCCTCTAGCAAACATTAATAAGTCATCTGCAAAGCAAAGATGAGTAATATCAAGTTTAGAGCACCTAAGATGGTACTTGAACTACTTATCTTCTCTAAGCCCCTTAAGAAGCCTACTCAGATACTCCATTGCTATAGCAAACAAGAAGGGAGACATTGAATATCCTTGCCTCAAACCTTTAGTTACATCAAAACTCTGTAAGGTCTGTCCAATAACTACTATGGAGTAGTTCACTGTGTTAACACACTTCATTATCCAATTTACAAACATCTCTGGGAACCCCAGCCCACACATTACTTGCTCTAGATAATCCCACTCTACTGAGTCATAGGATTTCTGCAGATCAATCTTCAACATGCTTCTAGGAGAGATATGCTTCCTAGTATAGGCTTTAACTAATTCATGAGCAAGTACTATATTATCTGCAATTTTCCTTCCTGGGATGAACCCTGCTTGACTTTCACATATAATGCGATGAATCACCCCATGCATTCTGTTGGTTAACACTTTGTAAATGATCTAATACATCACTGTACAGCAGGCTATTGGTCTATACTCTTTCATTGTTTTTGGATTCTGTACTTTTGGAATGAGAGTCACTAGAGTACAATTGAACTTCTTATGAAGGTTCCCAGTTGTGAAGAAACTTTTAACAGCTTCAATGACATCCCTTTTAATAATCTGCCAAGTATGTTTAAAAAAAAGCATTGTATCCATCTATCCCTGGTGACTTATCATCCCCTATGGATTTGAAACCTTCATAAATATCTTGATCAGTTACTACACTAAACTGCTGTAATCTTTGTTGTTTTGTCAATGTAGGCCCTCTTTTCATCACTTTTGCATTAATAGCTGGTAGTTTCCCTGCTGAAGATTCCATTAAACTCTTATAGAACATCAGAAACTCCTCTTGGATTTCCTGTGGATCATAAAGCATCTGACTATTTAAGGACATAATACTTCTTACTTACTTCTTTTGAGTTCTCTCTTTAATGACTGAGCTGAAATACTTGTTTTTTGCATCTCCCAGTTGAATCCATTTAATCCTTTATTTTTATCTCAGAGCACTTTCTTCAATTAAGGACCATTTTTCAAGTTGGATCAGCAACTCTTTCTCCTTCCCAATCAACTCATCCGTAGGTTGTTTATTTAGCTGGTTTTGAACATTTGCAACCTCTATTCTAGTTTGATCAATCTGCTTCCTAATGTACTTGAACTCTTTCTTGTTCAGCTGTTGTAATCAATGTTGAAGATCCATCAGTTTACACCACACCTGCTTCATTGTATTATAACCATACTGTTTTTTCCAGGTAGTTTCTACAATTTCCATAAACCTCTCATGCTCAGTCCAAACATTCAAAAATTTGAAGCTACACTTCCCACGCTGGTTAGTTTTTTGGAGAGTTAGCATCATAGAACTGTGATCTGAAATACTAGGATTTCCATACTCTACCATTACATGTCACGACCCAAACCGCGTTGTGACTGGCA